TAACTAAGCTGATGGAGTCTAACTCTCAATGGTAGAATGACATTTAATAAAGGAGATGAAGCCACCCACAAGCCGAGAAGAATGGGATGTGGAGAAGAATGGGATGCTGAGATGAAACCACCCACAAGCCGAGAAGAATGGACAGCCGAATTCCAAAAACACCCGCAATTTCCAGAATTTAAAATCCTGAATCATGACAGAACACTGGCGGAATTCAGGTTGATCTGGTCCATGGAATACTCACACCGAATGTGAGGACGAGCTGTAGGCCTTGTGTACATCCTACTTCACAAATGAGTCTGCCAGATAAGCTAAGCCTGTAGGCCAAAGATGAAGCTCTAGCATACAGAGGAACCTCAGGTAACTGTCCAGGCAGCTGGCTGTTTCTGTCATAACTCACATCTTTTTTGAAGTCGCTTGTCTGCACTTCCTGTTTTACTAGGTAATATTATTTCCTTCTTGGGTCTCTGAGGGAGTTGAAGATTAGATAGTTGTAGTAACAATTTCCCTTGTTAAGAAATTCAGAAAAGAAACTCAATAAGAGTGTTAAGTATAAAAGTTTGAAAGATATCATAAGATAGTTTTCTGTTGGTAATACAAGATAGGATAGAAAGTGAATTAGGTACATTTTGGACTCACCAAAATAGGACAGATAATGGAATATTTTCTCTGAATTTGTCAATGCAAATGGACTAGACATTGTTGATGTATTTATTGCTTGTATATATTGTATATAGTTACTGTACTTATTGTATATAGTTTTTCTTATATTAGTTATAACATTTTTATTTTTTTTAATTTTTATTAGACCAAAAAAAGGAGAAATGTAGTGATATTTTATTTGTATGTTAATAAATAAACTTTGCCTGGAGATCAGAGGAAATAGCAAGCCATTTTAAGTAAACACAAAAGTAAGGCAGTGGTAGCACATGCCCTTAGTCCTATCCCTTAGCAGGTAGTGTCTCTGTGTGTTCAAGGCCACACTAGGGAACACAGCCAAGCATGGTGACACAGGCCTTTAATCCCAGTACCAACCATAGAGACCTGGAGGTCTGTACAGACAGGCAGTGACAAAGAAGTGAGGTAGCTCGGCTAAGATAGCCAATGAGAGGGCAGAACAGCAAGGCAATAAAAGTCTGGGTAGACAAGAAGTCATCGCACTTTGGAATCTGTGGCGTGGTGAGGTAAGGTTAGCTGGTGGCTATTTCTATTTCACTGATCTCTAAGGCTTTCACCCCTAGTTTTGGCTCTGTGTCTTTTATTTAATAAAACCGCTTAGAAATTTGTCTACAGATGACTTCAGCTGTCTGTTCTGTTCTGTATTCCCCAGTGTATTTCCTCAATTTACCCTAATACATTTCCCTAATTCTCCTTAACCAGATTCCCATGGATTTATCGCATAATCACACATACATATACAGACACTGAGCTTTTGGGTAGTGGATATAGGAGGAATAGGGTTCAAAGGCTAGCAAACACACAACTGAGTCAAGGCCAGTCTAGGCTCCATAAGACCACGCCAGAAACAAAACCAAATAAAACATTTCAGTTTAGAAAAGATCTTTCACCTGAAGCCAACAGAGTTTCCCATGGCGACACACATTAGCTCCTTCTGCAGCCACACTCAAGACACTCTGCTTCTTGATGTGGAGCATCTGTCAAGAAAAGGAACACACCTTTAATCCCAGCACTGGGGCTACACAGAGAAACCCTGACTCAAAATAAGATAGATAGATAGATAGATAGATAGATAGATAGATAGATAGATAGATAGACAGACAGACAGATAGATAAACAAGAGGGTTTCATATACCTTCAGGTTGGTCTCCAACTTAGCCCATGCTAGTCACTTAGCCTATGCTAGTCTTATCCTCCTGTTGTTCTGTTTCTACTACCCAAGTACTGGGATCATGGGATCATAAGAATGTGCCAAACACCCAGGTTGGGTCATCTCTGTGTGTGTGTGTGTGTGTGTGTGTGTGTGTGTGTGTGTGTGTGTGTGTATGTGTGTGTGTGTGTGTGTGTACATGTTCACTTGTGAGTATGTGTGCACACACATTCATTTGGAGGACAGAGACCCATATTTGGTGTCCTCAGTCGCTTCCCATCTTACTTTTGAGACAGGTTCTCATTAAACACAGAGCTCACTGATTTGGTTGGACTAGCTGGACAGCAGCTCCAGGAATCTGCCCGTCTCTGCCTCCTCAGCAGAGAGGGTACAGACGTGCATGCTCCCTGCCTTACCTCGGTGCTGGGGATCCACACTCAGGCCTTCATGCTTGCATACCAAGCATTTTGCTGACTAAGGCATCTTCCCAGCTCCTGGGTCATGTTTTTGTTGTTTTTCCTTCCCCCAAGTCAGGGTTTCTCTGTGTAACAACCCTGGCTGTCCTAGATCTCACTCTGTAGATCAAGTTGACCTCAAACTCAGAGTCCACCTGCCTCTGCCTCCCAAGTGCTAGGAAGGCATGTGCCACCACCTTTGGGTATTTTTTTTTTCATCTTTTAAAATTTACAACTTTGACTAACACACACCAGAGTTTTCACTTATACATATAAATTACCACTGAACACATTTGCTCCTCAGTTCAGTTTTAGCAGAAGTGTAAACACATAACTGGAAGATAAATCACTCAGACCTCAAATGCTAATGAAAAAAAAACTGCTAAAAGTCAGCTCTCCCTTTAAAGACATATGTATGACAGGCATGGTGGTGTCCATCTGTCTTCCCAGCTACTTTGGAAGCTAGGGCAGGATTGCATTGGAGGACAGGCTGAGAAAATTATGGAGACTTCGTCTCTGAATCAGTAACAAATTAAAATGACCCACACAGCCCCAATTATAAGTTATGAAGTCCATTTGTGAACATAAGGATGGTTACTTCCTTTTTTCAAAATCACTGAGATTATACCTAAACACCATCCTGAGTAGTCCTTAGAAAATGGGAGTCAGACATCCTGTCTTGGTCCTGGGGGTCGGGGTCGGGGTTGGGAAGATGCTGTAAGGAAACCGGTTAGTCAATGTTGTCTTAATATTGTTGACAATTCTGTAAAGTTCCTTTTTATGACTATTTCTGTTTAAGTTAATTCACCTTTCGTTTTGAAATCCTTCTCTTTTAAGGAGAAAATGTGACATTGTGAAAATGCCTGTAAGCAAGCCCCTCCTCCTCTTTTTCCTTTTAATGACAAATCTAGGTGATTAAGGTTGTGAATTTTTATTTTCACTTTGTTGTTAATGAGCATTTGTCCTTCAGAATAGGATTGTGTGATAATGTTTAAATGGCAAAAACAAAATATGATTTTGTGCAGTTAACAAAGCTACTGCAAGAAAAAAGAAAAATAAAACATTTCTTGGTACCTCAAAGGAAAAAAAAAGAAAAAGAAAAAGGAAAAGGAAAAGGAAATGGGAGTCAGGAGCTGGGTGTGTTGATGTCCTCATGTAATCCAGGTGGAGACAGGAGGATCAGGAGTTCAAGATCAACCTTAGCTACATAGAAGTTAGAGACTGCATGGGGTACACGAGCCCCTGTCTCAAAAATCAAATTGCTGCCAGGCAGTGGTGGCATATGCTTATAATTGCAGCACTTGGGAGGCAGAGGCAGGTAGATCTCCATGAGTTTGAGGCTAGCCTGGTCTACAGAGGCAAGATCCAGGACAGCCATGCTGGGTACACAGAGAAACCCTCTCTCGAGAAACTAAAAAAAAAGGGAAAAATCAAATTGCTAGCCAAGCATGGTGGTGCACTTGGGAGGCTGAGGCAGGCCTGAATTTGAGGCCAGCCTGGTCTACAGAATGAGTTCCAGAAAAACCAGGGCTACACAGAGAAACCTTTCCTCGAAAAGCAAAACAAAAAACAAAAAACAACTAAACAAAAAAAAAAGTCCAGTTGCTATCCCTAAAAGGTTGGCCAGCCTGGCATGGTGGCACACTGAATGAAGCTCGATCCGAATCAGTCTTAACAATAAAAACCAGGAGGAATCAGATATCAGGGTGAAAGACCAGAGAAGCAGAGCAGCAGCCACGAGAGACTTTTATCTCTAAGAAATCTCGGACTGAATAGGGCGTCCTGTCTCTATGAATCCTCAGACTGAATGGGCGAGATCCTATCTCTACCTGCCTTCTATTCCTGTCTCCACCTCTCTAGTGCTGAGATTAAAGGCCTGAGCCTCCACCGCCCTGTTTCTCTATTAGACTGGTTCAATCTTGTGTAGCCCAGGGTAGCCTTGAACTCCTGATCTTCCTGCTTCTTCCTCCCAAGTGTTGGGATTAAAGGTGTGTGCCACCCCTTCCTGGCCTCTATGGTTAACTAGTGGCTAGCTCTGCCCTCTGATCTACAGGCAAGCTTTATTTGTCAGAAAACAAACAAAATACCATACAACATTAGTGGTTCTCTCCTCTAAACCCAAGCATGCTTGTTAAAAGGAAAATTCAAAATCTCTATCTTATGTCAGAAGAGCCACCTGATAGGGACCGAAGAAAAACCAAAATTCAGGGACTATTCTATTGCTACTCATCTCAAGATCCTTTGGTTTTGTTTTATTAAAGCTTTTCTTAAGGTATCAAAATTTATAAGATGTTTTTAAAACTTTTTGTCATGATCCTAAAGGTTATATAGAGTACTAATTCTAGAAAAAGGGCTTCATCTAGCTTCCTGAACATGATTTCATATTGAATCTCTCTCAAGTAACTAGGAGTTAAGTTTTTGTACACTGGATATTTATTTATTTATTTATTTATTTATTTTTTGGTTTTTTCGAGACAGGGTTTCTCTGTGTAGCTTTGCGCCTTTCCTGGAACTCACTTGGTAGCCCAGGCTGGCCTCGAACTCACAA